CACAAGTTTTACATTTACCAGGAATAAAAAAAATGGCTCATTACTGCCAACCATTCTGGAAAAAAAGGCAGTAATATGGAAATATTTGCCAAGTCTCAATATATTAACTTTCTATTCGACTATAGAAAAAATTGTAGATATAGGCCTAATGCATTTCTATAACAAAGAGACGTTGTAAGTTCATTCCATGAACGGCACTGGGCATTTTTGAACTTTGTTTGCATTTCTTATATTTTCTCCATAATGTTCCATTTATTTCATTGGTATTTAAGGGCATAGAAATACAAACTAATGCATAATTATGATGGAAATGAAAATTATTCATACCAAGTTCTTTTTAGGACAGAAGTATAACACATATTTGTATTCAGTCCCCATTACGTTAATAAACCTAGTTACTACTTTTCTCTGAATACATTTAATGATAACAACTCCTATCTGAAGGCCACAGTGGACTGATTAGAGAAGCACCCAAGATGTTCATGGTCTCTCTGGAGGAGCTGCAAAGATCCCCAGTTTTAGTGTGAAAATGTTTTAGTTACAAAAAAGGACCAAGAATGTTTTTATGGATGAGGGGCAAAAAGAAAAGATTTCTAAATAAAACTTTTTAGTAGAGCATTTTGCAGTTTGCTACAGAGAAAGCAACATACATTTTGAAGATACTGCTTTGGTAAGATGAAACCATGATTTCACATTTTGCTTTTTATGGAAATTGCTTGTAGGAAGAAAGTAAGACACACTGAAAGCATCCTTCTCATAATGAAATACTTTGATGGAAGCATCATGGTGATACTTTTCTACATCAAGGACAGGAGGCTGGTCAGATTTGACAAGAAGATAGATAGAGCGAAACACAGGGCCAGTCCTGTAAGAACACTTATTTGAAGCTTTAAAAATTTTATTTTTAAGTAACTCGATTAAGTACATCAGTATGTATGTCACCTGGGGATCAACTGATCTTTGGCTGTATAATGTACTGATGAAGGTTCTCACTCATCCAGGTCATAGTCATTCCGTAAAAATTCAAAAAAATATCCACTGGACTTGGTTTCCAAGATTTGAAGACGTTTCGCCACCTCTTCAGGAAGCTTTCTCAAAAGCTGTATAATGTAGTGCTAATACCACTCATAATGCAGTGATAATCTGCATTATGGGTAGACGAGTTTTGATAAGAAGTACTGTTTCATAAATAGAATACAGTCCTCAGGGCACTGGTTTTTATCTCAATATCTGCAGCTCATGCTGCAATTGGTAAATTCACTTCAACAATTTGAGGAGAAGTAACTGCAATGATTTTGTGTTTGTTTGTTTTTCTGTAAAAATATGCATTGTTCACACTGAGCATGATAAATGTCTGATATGTGAATAGAAGTTGCATGGATTAGCGGGTTTTAAATAAAACAGATGAAGAGAAATGTGTTTGGCTGTGAGCCATGTGACCCTGAGAGACAGATAGCCAATATGTGGCCTGGTTTCTGACCTTCACCGATCAATATGAGGTATTGATGTCTCCTTTGGGGACTCACTGCTCTATGTTTTACATTTGTGTATGCTTGTTGATTGAACTCTTCCTTCATCAGGCTGTTTACAGCAATCAAATACTTCAAACAGTTTGTAAATATGCATTAAGTCAAACTGTTTTGCAGAATAAAAAAGAGGAAACGTGACTATGTTTAATCATCTGATCTTTTTTAAGATCAGTCCAGCTATTGAGAAACAATTATTTCTATGCCAAAAAAATATATAATCTGTCTCTATAACATCTTTATATGATCAGATTATCTTTAGTGAAACAGGACACCAGTTACTATTGGAGAGATAGGAGAATGACAGGATAGAAATATAATCTGTGAAAGGGAATTGGGTTATCAAGGTATTAGATTAATCTAATAATAACTGAAAGTAAAAAGTCAGAAAAATTCACCAGGACAAAAGCAACACAGAGAAACCAAAGAGAAAACAAGTAAAAACCCAAATAAACACTGAGGTTATAATATTATTTTCTTTAAAAAGTGAATTTCATGTGTTGATTGCCTTTTTCAAAGAATGCAGTCGCTCTCGAATGTTCAGGCTGCCATGTTTGAAGGTTTTTGAGACATAAAAAAAACTTTCCAATGTTAAATTCCTCTAAAAGAAATAATACATAATTTTAGAGTGCTAGATGTGGGAGTATTAGAAGTGGTGCATATAACTGGTTACATATGTCCATGTCATGCTTTTCTGTTGATAATTTGTATTTACCGTTTTTATCTACTTTCCAGTTAGCTGTTTGGCATTTGCATCCACATTTGCCCAATCTACCTGTAAAAGTTCTGAAACCAATAAAAAATGTGTAGATATCTGTAGTCCCAACCAATCATCAGGAGTCTTTTCGTTTTTAACTGGTCAGCCATTTTAAAACTTTCAATTTGTAACAGCGCATTAACTGATATATAGGTAAAATAACATTATATTGATGTGTTATGGCTTTCACCAAAAGGATTGAAATGTAAATTAGGAAACATTAGGAAAGTCCAACACAGATAGCCGAGCTTAAGATTTATTAGATCCTCTGTGTTAAATTAAAGGTATAGTGGAGGATGTTCTTTTTCTGGGTGGATCATCAAAATAAGTGGTCCTACTAATTGTCAATCATTGGAGACAGTGTAAAAACTGCAAATCTTTTTTTGGAAAGCAAGCTTGTATGTGCAATGCAAACAGCAACTTTTAAACAGCGTGCACAAGGAGAAATTGACTGGTGCACGCTGTCGTATGCATTTAATAGGCGTACCCTCTCGGGGGTGGGTACATGGTTGTGCTTTTTTTTAAGTGGAGAGGGCAGGTCTTTTCAAAAAATTCACAAAAATCCTCCATTATACCTTTAAGTTTAAAAACAGTAATGATGATCAATTAGGATTTTACCTACTCTGAATCCCAGAATTCAGAAAAGCGACTATTGATTAATGACTGAAAAGCGCTCCGACTGTATGTATCACATTCATTGAATCAGCTCTTCCTTAATTCTCTTTCAAGGGAACATTAGCATAAAGTTATTTCAATGTTGATACCAATTTCTTATGTATTGAGATAAAGCAATTAAAACATCCTTGGCCACACTTAAAATGCAAAGTGCCCTTTGTGCAGTTATATATTGAATAAATGTTTGCCAAAGGGAAAAACTAGATAAACATATAATTCTTAAGCTGTAGTTTTATAACCTCGAGTTTCAGCACGCTGGCCTACAGTTCTAAGACTAACTTTAAAAACAAGAACAGATGAATATTTGGTTTTACATTTGGAGTTGAGTTCAGATGAGCAATAATAAGAAGGACGCAATTGAGAGGAAGAGTTTTGGAGTTGGATTTCAAAGTCTTAGAACCAGTTTTTTAACCATCAGCTTTCAGGACCAGAATGTAAAGGAAGAAGAGTTGTAACTGTGGGTGAAACAAGGTAGCCTACTAGTGTTTCTGCCCTGCTGTTTTGACACCTCTTTGTTCAGATCCTCCTTGGCTTCCAGCTTTCTTTGGATAACTGCTATGTCTACACCATAGAATGGGAATTAAAAATGTGCAATGAGTGGTAGTCTGTTCATGCACTAATCACCTAGAATTCTGATCTGGATGATACACCTAAACACAGGAGGAGGTGACGCTGAGAAGTCAAGTAGTGGGAAAAAATTGGAAAAAAGGAGAACGTATCAAATAAAAAACACTGACACATATTTTAAATCCATGAGCCCACGCTTTGAGAAAAACACATCAGGATTACAAACTCTTCTCTAGTTGTGAAGATTCGGTCATCTGCAAAAGATGAAACATTGTCATAACCAATTCAAAAGATCCATCAACGTCATTTTTAAAGAGATTTTCAAAGAAAACAGTTCTTGCATGCAAGAAGTAAGCAGTAGCAAGTAAGCAAATAACCATTTTCTTTGAGTCAAATGTTTAATTGTTAAGATCAGGGGTGCACAAGTCCAGTCCTTGAGAGCTTAACCGGATAGATGGCCTAGGTTTTTGCAAAATCAGGTTTCATAAAATATTGTGATTGCATAAGTGAACAAAGAATAACTAATTTTAAACTATTTTTAATTACTGACACTACTTAAAATGAAATACTTCAATGATTTAGAGCAAAACATCCCAGTATATATCTATACAGGGATGAATACATTTTCAGCCTTCTGTGTCTCAGTTTCAGATATTTGAGGTAAATTTCTTTTAAAATGTAGCTCTCAATATAGATGTGCATAATTTCTTTTTTTTTAATAATTACTTTGCTTTCACCCTTTCCTGGTTTATACTGTAAAGGTCAATTATAATGGTTGCTTAATTGTATTTTCTCTCATCTTCCTATTTTTGCAGAGAGGCAAAGAGAAAAAAAAAACTCTGTCCTATCCTTTTGTTTGATAAACCAGGAAAATAAAAATGCTTTGATTACATTTATCCCAATGCAATAGTCAGGGAAATCAAGATTGATATACTTATATAAACAACAACAAGACTTTATGAATTGACTTGAACAGAATTACCTCAAGTGTGAATTAATGTAAAGAGAGGTGAAAATTTATCTCGTAAAATACTTCAGTCCTAAACCCACAAACTTCTTCTGGTCATTCATAAATCAGATTTGGAGACTGCATTGTCCTTAGGCTTTCACAAATATTGCCTGCAGAGTGGGACAACAGGTCATTTTTAAGTTGGAATAATGTTACCCTTTACTGAAAATGCCAATGTCATTCCATAGGTGGCATAGTTCAATAATCATTTAAAAATGTACTTCTTTTTACAAAACTGAGCAGCTAAAAAACAAGCACTAATATAACTGAATATGTATAGATCAATAGTGTTGTTCCTTCTTCTATATCATCATAATTAATGTAGCATTGAATATGGTAAATGGAAAACACATTAATTGTCAACCTCTATATTAAAGCTAAGACTTGTTTGTTTAAAGGATCTTTAACCATTATTGATCCAACTCTCTCTTTTTTTCTCTCTTTCTCTTTCTGTATCTCTCTCTCTACGGCTCATTTTGGATGAACAGATCTACTTCACTTAAACAATTTTCCAACGTACCCTTCCATGGCTGTTTTTGTATCAAGGTTAGTTTGACATCTTTAACTACCTTGACACAATAGGGTGTTGAAACAGAACAAACTCATAGCGCCAGTGTTGCACACAAAGGCATGATCATCCCTCATCACCTCCTACAGCTACTTCTGATAGTTGTAAAGTGTCAGATTGCAGCACTGAGAGATTGTTGATTAGGCAGTTTCCTAGAGGTAAGGGTATTTTACACACCAAGGTCATGACAGCCTCTTTATACATTTACATTTTGTTTTGTTTTTTATCAAACCTGCCACAAAATTGTACTTCTGTTGTGTAAAAGTTGATATTTGAAATATTTGGCAGTTCCTTTATTGTTTTAATTTTAAGACGGATTCACATTTTTCTAAACCAAATGTTACTCTTTGTAAAATAACTGTTTAATGTCTTACTTTATAAAGCATTTTTGTTTTTATTTTAAAAAATATTTATTTTTAAAATACCATAAATATGAATAAATAATGAAAAGGTGTAAATTAATTAGGAGACTATTAAACATGAACATTTTTTATACGATGTTGTATTCTGCAAGTTGGTTGATCACTGTAGTTAAAACAAAAATCATAGAATAATTTTTCTTCTTATGTTTCTAATTCCTGTGTTTATTTTCCATATTTCTGTTTCTCATTTGTCACACACTGATAATACATGATTCTGTGCTTCTTCATGCTAAAGCTAGTGCAGGTCAATATTTACCCTACTTAATGCATTCTTATGTTTTATTTAAGTATATGAGGAGTAGCAACCCTGTTATGAGCATTAGAGAAGTTAGGAGTGCAACTTTTATTCACCACACATCACCATACACACATCAACACCATTCCATTGCCCCATAATCAATCAAAAGCGATTGATAATCTGAAACTCAATTTCAGTCTTTTGCCAATAAATCATTTGACCATGTCTGTCAAACATTCATGATGTTCATAATCCCTGTTTTCTTCTTCATAAACTGCCTCTCTCCACAGAGTGCCAGGGCAGATTTAGCTGCTATGATGAGAAAAAGTAGAGAGAACATAAAGTTAGGTGAACAAACTTGTAGTAGGATGAAGCAGAGAGATGAAAAATGGCCCCTATGTCCTCCAGCAGCTTAACCCTATAAGAGCAAAACTATGAAGATTGAAATGTTATTTTATGAAATCTAAAAACAAACAGATGAAACTTTTTAGATTTTTGTTCGTAAAACATCTGGAGGCTACATATCCCTGTCGGCTTTGTGTTGGTCTCTGACCAGAAATCCCATGAAAATGTATTAATACAAATAAACAGAGAGTTTTTGACCTTTCTTTTTTTTTCTTTACAGTCTTTGAGTCCATCTGAGAAATTCTGATTCATCAGGTTAGGATTTTCTATTGAATAAAAAAAAAAACCCAAGGACCAAATGTGAAAAAAAAACAGTGATGGACTACTGGTAAGTTTCGTCCATGTGATTAATATTATTATGCATTTTATTATGTCAAAAATCTAAAGAACTTATTGAAAACAACCTATGTTAACAGAATAAATGTCTGAGGGAACTTTGCTTTCTGTTTAGCAAATTTTGTTTCAACATTTTTTTTCTGGCAAAGATCATTTTAACTGATCTTTTCTCACATTTTTACTCAATTATTTGTTTGTCTAAATTTATTTTCAAGATTGGCAGCATGTTAGGAACGCCAGACCTACACCAGAAGAGTGCATAGATTCTGGCATCTGATTAAAAGGAATGAGACAAACAGCAGACTGTCCAGTGATTCTTCCTTCCTTCGTCTTCAAGAAAACTCTTTGCATTCACTGATCATGTATAACAAAGCAAGGTTAACACCTAAGCCAAGATGAACCCTTATATCATTTCTCACTTAAGGAGCAATATTTGCACAATGATCTTCACCTGCTACCCTTTTGTTTTTTGTTGGGTTTTTTTTTATTTGTGAAATTTGGTTCTTTTTTCTGAGGAATTCTATCCAATGCTTTTAATTTCATATCAGCTGATTAAGCAAGCTAATCCAACATCTTGGTGTATATGCACCACAGCTTCAGTTGTATACAAATATAAAGGTGTTTTTTTGGTTCATTTAAAATATTAAGTCCTTGTTTTTTTACATTGCATTTATTTTATTATTGCTTGATGCTCAAGTATTTGTTCAAGCGATCTTGCAATTTCTCTGTCTTTTCCTACAAACTGTATTAGTTTTATCTCTTACTAGATTTCAGTAATAATATTTCCCTGTTTATTTCTTCCCTCTTATCTTTTGTCAGGTTGTAAGAGATGTCACGGCCATAATGCAGTTTTGTAATGAGGTACATCTGCTCTATGGTGTCGTCACCTATAGGTGTTCGTTAAAAGGAAAAACCTGAAGGTTAATACTTGCAATACAAAAGCCAGTACCTTAAAGAACTTCAGAATGTCTACCAAACAGATCAGGAGCCTATTGGAGGGTAAATGTGTAATAGTTAAAGCATTTACATGATCCGTTGAGGAGTAATAAACAAAAAAAAACGTTTGAGTTAGCAAAAACGTCTAGCTTTCATGACTTTTTTAACAATGACACATTTTACTGTAAAACAAAACTTTTATTTTATTATATCTTTTCTTGCCTCATGCTGATTCAATGTGAATGTGAATCTGGAAAGATCCTTTATTGTAAGATTTTGCATGTTTTTTACTTCTCCTTTTCTACATGTTGGTATCTCTTAGTAGTTTGCAACAAACGTCAGTTAGGCATTGTTTTGCACTTACTTGCCTTTCTCTGAAATGTATGCCATTAAGAGCTGGATAATCTTACGATGCTTCTATGTGCATTATCCAACTACAGTTCAGTTTCGGTTTATATTCCTCATCAAATGATGCCTGCTCAAGACCTCAAGACTTTGTTTTGTTTCATTGAACTAAGCATAACCGTCCTGCATGCTGTTGTGTTGCATGCTCAACTCAGTTCTGCCCCAAAAAATCCCTGAATGAGCTTTTGCATGAGCGTAGTTGTGAAATATGAACTCTTTGTATTGCTTATGTCAACCACCACTTCACATTACCTAACTTTAGAATGTGGGATTTCCGATGAAATATCTGTTATCACAAAACAGCCATTTTTTTTATAACTAAACAAATAAATAGTCAGTTGGGCATGGATGACAAAACAAGAGCCTATTGTGGCTGTTAGTCTTTGTTTGTACCTACATTTAACTGATTTCATAAAAAAAGACTGAAGGACTTTGTTGGTAAAACCGTGAAGAGATTTGTTGAGTGTATCAGTCCACTACAACAAAGATATTTTACACGTGGGGATGGGAGCAGCACGTGTTAAACATCGCTTCATTGCTGTGGTGGATGGGCCAGTGGAGGAGGAGGAGGTCATGAGGCTAGCACAAAGTGCAAGGGCAGGAGAGAGTCCAACGGGGTCCAGAGGCCTAAACAGCTCCTCTCCAATCCATGCCCTAAATGGCAAAGCTCTTCCTCTTCAGAGCAACACTAACAATGCATGGAACCAGAGCGCTATTGATGAGCCAGCTGGGAGAGATGCTGGAGGAGAAGTTAGAGTGAGAGCAGGAGGAATATGCTCAGGTCCAAGGAATACCAAAGGAGGTAGGGAAGGGGGGAGAGGGGAAGGATGTTCTTCATCATACCAGGATTCCCTGTCTTCCCCCTCCACTACCAGCCGGCAACGCAGCAGGCGCTCAAACCGCCGGCCCCGACAACGCTTTGTGGGCAAGGACGGACGCTGCAACGTCACCTTCGTCAACATGAGTGAAAGGGGCCAGCGGTACCTCAGCGACCTTTTCACCACCTGTGTAGACATACGCTGGCGCTGGATGCTGGTCATCTTCACGCTCTCCTTTATTCTTTCCTGGCTTCTCTTTGGTTTTGCCTTCTGGCTCATTGCCTCTGTGCATGGGGACCTCTCCATTCAACTTACCCCCAGTTCTGGTTTTTCTCCTGGATCAGGAGAATCTGGGTCTGGAGGAGAGTCTGATAGAGACACTGGGGGAGAAGAGCCATGCTTCCTCCAAGTAAATAGCTTCATGGCAGCCTTCCTGTTCTCCTTGGAGACGCAGACATCCATCGGTTACGGATTCAGAAGCGTGACCGAAGAATGTCCCCTGGCGGTGCTGGCGGTCGTTTTGCAGTGCATCGTGGGCTGCATTATTGACGCCTTCATCATCGGGGCAGTCATGGCCAAGATTGCCAAGCCCAAGAAACGCAACGAGACTCTGGTGTTCTCTGACACTGCTGTGGTGGCCCTAAGAGATGGAAAACTCTGCATGATGTGGAGGGTGGGAAATCTACGGAAGAGCCACTTGGTTGAGGCGCATGTGAGAGCACAACTACTGAAGGTAAGCAGTGTTAAAATAAACACAACAAAAAATATGAAAATTGAACATCAGGTTGACAAAGTGTTCCAAATTAAAAAGGTGGAGCTATTAAAACTTTGGTTAAATAAATTAAAGATGCAACTGAGAGTGAAGAGGAATGAGAGAGAGAGAGACTCAGACCATCTGGCTAGTATTCTGCCAGTCCCACTTAATGAGAGTTTTTTTTTTTTACTCTGGGGTTTGGAAGATTAATCATGGATTAACTTGCCTGCAATTCTTTCCCTGAGAACCCTTGTCCTTCATCAGTCCATTTCCCCACTGTATCCCATGAATGCATCCTATGAACAACTGGGTTGGATATTGGTTTGGTATCTACAAATACAAAATTACCTTGAATTAAGGGTCAAAGTTAAAACTACTTTCCTTTTTTTCTATCATAAATGCTTTTAGTGGTTGCATGTATGTCCACTCTATATTGTCAAAATCTGTGGAGCACAGTCAGTATATGATCTCCTTAGATAAAAGGCCCATAATAGGTCCAAGCAGGGCAGAAAGGATCAGGGCTGCACAATAAAAACAAAACAAAAAAAATACCTCTCTCTATTAATAGAGTTTTCTGTGACAAGAGGTAAATTCAGGTTAGCTTAAACGGACTCCAGGAGTACTTGCAGCATAGAGAAGATTTACTGTCTGCTCCAGTTTTGATCAGCCTTGGCATGGGTATCAGTCTCATTTCTCCAAACAACTGGGTCACCAAAATACTCAGTCTCTCTATTCTCTACTTTTCCTGAAGTTTTAACTCCACTAAATACATTTAGCTGTCAAAAGGTTATTCCTTGAACATGCAGCTTATTCCTTTAAAAACAGTTTCTAGTGCAAATACAAGTTTTTTTTTTCTAAAACATCAATGCAAACTAATGCAACACGTGCTAGATTAAAGGATAAAATACTTTGACAAGCTCTGCAGTCAAATGTCCGTTTCATTTTGCTTATTTGACTCAAATGTTGAGAAAAACGGAAAAAGGAATGAAGAGGAAATATATGATTGATGCACAAAACAAATGTGTCTGACCAGTACATATTTTGACTTTACCTGTAGTAAGGCAGTTCCCTATATTTCCATCCATCTTATCCAACTTTTCCCCTCATTGTGACAGTGGGGCCCATGCTTATCTCCGGCAGTCTATGGGCGAGAGGCAGGGTACATCCTGGACAGGTCGCCACTCTGTCACAGGGCAACATGGGGACATACAACCATGCACATACACTCACACCAAAGGACAATTTAAAGAAGCAAATTAACCTAACAGTAATGTTATTGGTCTGTGGGAAGAAGCCAGAGTATCTGGAGAGAACCCAGTCATACACAGGAAGAACATGCAAACTCCATGGGTGTCAATCCCGTACTTTCTTGATGCAAGGCAACAGTACAAACAGTCCCACCGTGCAGCTCTCCTCATATTTTCTTTATAGTTTTTCACTGCAGCAAAGGAGCTCATTACCTCCTTTTTTATCTGTATATTTGACATATTCTAATACAGCCTTGATTTGTCTGAAAAAGCCCATTACTGGCTTGAAAATTAAATAAAAGGCTGTCCATGGCTTTTTACACACAAAAATGTTTTCTCATTCTAGCAAATGACAAAATTTGCGTCATAGTAAAGACTTGTAAAGATCTTGTGGGTTAAAGGTATGTACTTTTGCTCTATTTTTCTCTATCTCCTTCCAGCCAAGGATGACACCAGAAGGGGAGTACCTGCCCCTTGACAACGCAGACATTAACGTGGGTTTTGATACTGGCACCGATCGCATCTTTTTGGTGTCTCCTGTGACAATAGTGCACGAAATCAATGAAGAATCACCTTTTTATGAGATAGACAAAAAAACCTTGAAGAGTGACTCTGAATTGGAGGTGGTGGTCATACTGGAGGGAATGGTGGAGGCCACATCGATGACAACACAGTGCCGCAGCTCCTATCTGGCTTCGGAAATACTCTGGGGACACCGTTTTGAACCAGTGCTATTTGAGAGGAAAAACGGCTACCAGGTAAGAAAGAGCAAACAAAGAGAGATTCATTGTTGCTCCTCACAATTTTCTGCATTCCTGGTAGAAATATGTGCAATGTTTATTATTTCTATCTTATTTACAAGGCATTGAGAAGTTTTCTGAGGTATAACATCATAGTTTTTTTTAAACAGGAGAAGAACACTTAAAAAAAAAGACACAAATTGATTCAAAAATAAAATAATCATCTCCTGTTGTTCTAAGACTAAGAGAGAGATATATGAGCAACTATTTATGTCATCCAAGCAGTTTTCTACAAGGTATTCTTATAGATACCCGTCTCAGTACACTCCAACCTTTTACAGTTGTTTAGCAAAGGACAGGCCTTATTGACAAAAAAATTGTTTTACAAGGTATGTAAAGCCATAGTACCAATGACTTTGGCACTAGCGGTTAGTAAAAATCTATTGTGATATTTTATCTGAATATAATACATTTACTCCAATTATAGGTTTTAGTGCCAAACATTGTTAAAAGATAGAGTAGAATAGAATAAAATAGAATTTTCCATTATTGCACACACATTGCCAGTGACAAAGCAACTTGACAATAAGCCAAACAGGTAGACACAAGACTATTAAACATGAAAAATGACAAACCTTTAAAAAGGTAAGAATATACTACACAGCAAAGGGAAAACAAATATAAACAAGAACACTATAGCTACTTAAAACTGAATAGATAGATTAAATTAAAACATTTTCAAGATAAAAGGAAAAACAGTAAAACCGTTTAGACATCATGTTTAAAAAAAACTGCACATAACAGTGAGGATGTAAAAAAACATTTACAGAGCAGGTAAATATAGTTAAATGGAAGGTAAAAAAGGAAAAAAAGGCATTTGTGTGCTACTGAGCAGATTAAGCACGGCAGCTAAAAGCTTAATGTAAATGTCGCACCCTTACATAGAACGGCTAACACACACATCCCTCTTTATTAATTGGCAACCTTTATTAACAAAAAGGCTTCTGGTTAAGAGACACATTCTTTCCCATTTCCAAACACCATTGTTCTTCTCTGTTTCCTCTCCTTCATCATCTACCTTCACCAATCTTCGGCATCTAACTTTATAAGTTGAAACATTACAGAAATAAACTAATCATAAAAAAAAATGTATTTTAAATTATTAAACACTTAATGAGATAATCAGAACACACTTTTATTTCACATATTGTGCCTGTGTGAAGATTATAAAGCCTTACAGCAGCTGAGAGGAGGATATGCAGTAGTGCTACTATAAGCAACAAGGGTGCAGCTGATTATACTATAGCAGTAATATTGCTTTTCACACATCTCATCTACAATGGGACCCATTATTGTGAAAGGTGTTTTATTATTGAAAGGGGCGTATTGCCTCACCTGCATTATCTTGTGTTTTGCTTTAAAATATTCTTTTTTGGAATTTTATGCTGAATTCAACTAAAGACAATCTTATTTTTAGGTTGACTATTCGTTTTTCCATCGGACCTATGAAATCCCAAACACGCTATCATGCAGTGCTAGAGAGCTGGCCGAGCAGAGGTACACTGGAAGCTCAAGCTTGTCTTTTTGTTATGAGAATGAAGTGGCCCTGGAGCTCACCTCCCCGGATGAGGAACCAGATCGAGAGCAGGAGCCTTTCTCCCCACCGACCCGAAGACCATCCTTTGAAGCGTAGGAGTATAAAGTTGTAAGAAAGACCGAAAGCTTCAATGGACAGCAAGAAAACATAAAGGATTTATTTGGGTAGATCAAGAGTGAAGTACAAGTCAAATATCTATGAATTCCCAGGGAAAGCCCGGGGTGATTAAACACTTGAAAGAGGAAAAGGTCAGATAGTTGTTCGGGGAGTTTGGTCCCAACCCTGACCGAGTTGTTTGATTGGCCCTGGCAGTCTTTCAGAATCATTGAAACTTGTTGACTAAGTCTCACATCTGGCCCATCACTACCACAGCATCTTCAGCTCACTCCAACCCCCACAGAAGGGTGTGCAGCAGGTGGAGCTGCTGCACATCCTTCTGTGGGGGTTGGAGTGAGCTGAAGATGCTGTGGTAGTGATGGGCCAGATGTGAGACTTAGTCAACAAGTTTCAATGATTCTGAAAGACTGCCAGGGCCAATCAAACAACTCGGTCAGGGTTGGGACCAAACTCCCCGAACAACTATCTGACCTTTTCCTCTTTCAAGTGTTTAATCACCCCGGGAAAATGTTGAGAAACGCTTTGTGGGCAAGGACGGACGCTGCAACGTCACCTTCGTCAACATGAGTGAAAGGGGCCAGCGGTACCTCAGCGACCTTTTCACCACCTGTGTAGACATACGCTGGCGCTGGATGCTGGTCATCTTCACGCTCTCCTTTATTCTTTCCTGGCTTCTCTTTGGTTTTGCCTTCTGGCTCATTGCCTCTGTGCATGGGGACCTCTCCATTCAACTTACCCCCAGTTCTGGTTTTTCTCCTGGATCAGGAGAATCTGGGTCTGGAGGAGAGTCTGATAGAGACACTGGGGGAGAAGAGCCATGCTTCCTCCAAGTAAATAGCTTCATGGCAGCCTTCCTGTTCTCCTTGGAGACGCAGACATCCATCGGTTACGGATTCAGAAGCGTGACCGAAGAATGTCCCCTGGCGGTGCTGGCGGTCGTTTTGCAGTGCATCGTGGGCTGCATTATTGACGCCTTCATCATCGGGGCAGTCATGGCCAAGATTGCCAAGCCCAAGAAACGCAACGAGACTCTGGTGTTCTCTGACACTGCTGTGGTGGCCCTAAGAGATGGAAAACTCTGCATGATGTGGAGGGTGGGAAATCTACGGAAGAGCCACTTGGTTCCCCACAGAAGGATGTGCAGCAGCTCCACCTGCTGCACACCTAGAGAAATGTTGGACTTCTCTTCAAGTTACTGTTGTGCATTATGATGGTGGTTACTCAGGAAGGTGTTTTTAAAACAATGCTGACTTATCACTTCAGTATTGTAATCTCTAACGGTAAGTATTGGTTGTGCTCATTCAATACTGTTGGCGAATGGTTGCTTGAGAATTTGAAAATGATCTCCTCTTTGCAAAATAATGGTAAGAAGAAACTGTTGGAAACTAGCAGCAGTTTTCAACAGATTCTTCTTTCTGAATTCAGCGCATGCTTTCCTTTTTTTTGACTTATGTTTTTTTTTCTCATTATGTGACTATTTTTTGGTTACTTAATACATTTTGTGTTTAAAATACTTCTTTGTTTAAGGAGATTCTATTCTAAGGTTTGGATATGCAGCCATAGAGATGATATTGACTATTTCAGCTGTCCATTGCACTGTTCTTGCACTTATATCTTCAGTATCTTATTTAATGTTGTGTCATGAAAAGCATCTTTTTATGTAGTTGTATTTTATATTAGGAAAATGTGTGAAATGCGTGAAAGCATTATAGTTTTTGGAGTGTTTTAGCACCTGCTGGCAAGTCTGAATTTTACACTGTAAATGCATCACAGACCTAAGACTCAGAAAACTGGGATTAAGCTAACCTGGACTGATTCTATAATGATGCAAGGCTTTGGTGGTCTTCTGTTTCTGCATCTGTAAAAACAAACAAAAAAATGTCTTCTATTTGCACAAGTACAGTAAAACACCATTGTAGAATATTAATCTAATTTAATGAATAATGATATAATTAATAAACTTAAATCTAATGTAATCTAACTTAAAAGCTTATTAAATTGTGAAATTACTCTGTTTTAAACACAGTAAAGATGGTTTCTCTGTTAAAACATGGTGCCTTGAGAACAGAGCAGAATTAATGACATGCCCTTGATTAACTGATTTTTAATTCCTGCATTATGCTTAAAAGAATAAACTTGTTGTGCACATTTTCTTTAAAATGGTTTACCATAGTTTCAGGTGGGAGCTGTTTCCCACTTGCAATGTGATCTAAATGCAGAAAATGATATGCCCTTGTTTAATTATACAATTTCCAAGGCTTAAGACAAAAGACATTTTCTGCAAAGTCCCATGACGTTAGAACGGCAAATTAGTAATCCATAAATTTCTCAGCAATCCATAAAATTTAAATCTAACATGGCTACTAAGCATGCACGATGAAGTTAAATAAATGCAGAAATAATCGGTTTGTGTTTCTAAAAGTTTTCTTACTTATTAAATTTGTCCCTCAAATAGTTCTGTATAAAATTGTTTTTTGGAATCATGATCCTTTCGTGCTGCATGTTCAAAGAATCGTAAGCAATACCACATTGCAGCATGTTTGCATCTTGTTGGGCCTCTCGTTGCACACTTGTGCCTCTTCCACAGTCCAAAAATAGGCATGTTGTGTTACTTGGTTACACTGTCTTGCCCCTAGGATTGATTGTGAGCTGTTTTCTTTGTGTCTCTGTTGCCCCTTGCACAGACTGGTGACCAGTTAATGGCCACATTATGACTCCAGTAAGGCCCGACGCAGAAAACGGAATTATAGCACTTTAATGGAAGGGTGTTCCTTTAGTGTTGAAATGTAAAAAAAGCTGATGTTTTATGAAACATTTTATGAAATGTTACTGACACACTATTCAGCTTGGGCTCATTGCACATTCCTTAAAAGTGAAATTTATTAATGGGGAACTGCATAACATCTGAAGTAAGTTTGTTTAATTTGAAATGGTTTACCAGATAAGTTGTTCTAATGCTTTTATGCTGATTGTGATATTGTATTTCTGTCCATTGTATCTATTCAAACATAAAAAAAACATAAATATTATTTTTATAATATTAATAAAACTGCAATTTGCACTATATGTCGAGTAGCCATATTGAATATGACATTTTACTGTTCAAGTCAGGGTTATGATTAAAGGGAGTCTTGTAGTTGGTATCTCTGACGTCTACCATGGTAATTCTGACTGCTGAGTACAAGCAAATTTGGATGTTGGGTCATTCGAGGCCCCAACTTCAGAGGTAAATGGAGTGCAGCATGACTGCTAATCCATTCAGCAGCTAAGGGGTTACACCATGAGCACTTACTGAATGTACAAGAAGCTTTTTTCCCCCCCTTATTAAACTGCACACTATATTAGGTGCACTTTTTTTGTTATTTTACAAAGCACTTTGAATATTTGTGTTTTATTTTTGTATGATTTAATGTGAATCCCACAGCTTAAGCTGTTTAAATGCTTGAAGTGTAAATCAGTTCAAAAGGAAGCAAACTATAAAGAGGTACCAAAATGTTCCTATCCAAGGCTTAACTTATAATTTTGTTGTTTGAGTTTTGCACAACAGTAAATTGTGAAGGCCTTTATGACAGACCGTGCTCTGCAATGGCCCAGTGTGTTTTACAGAATCATACTTGAAGCTTTGAAACATCAGGAGGAACTGTGTTATGATCTATTAACATTTTGGTTGTTAGAAGAAATGCTAATGCTTTTCCATGGTACTTTTCTTCTTCACTGCTTCTAAGTACTATTAATAGTCTCAGCGGTGGCTCATGTCATTCATCCTGCCTCCAACGCCACTAAATGTAACTTGAGCACAAAACACCCTCGCTTTAAGGGCATCTTTTGGACTTCAAAGACACAGTGTTTGCTTATGGTTTACAGCTAACAATAAAGAACATTGCATTTTAAAAGACTGTCAAACTGAATTATATGCTGTACTTTTAAAAACTGAATTAGAAAAAGGAATTAATCAAAAGCTTTAGTGACATTTTTCCATTTTAAGAATGAGAGTGTTCAATTTTACATTGTAATCTTAGATGGGTTTTGGGCAAGGCGCACACCTACCTGTTCTTGTGAACATAAATAAACTGTTACAACTGCAGTACTGTTGTTTTCCTTTATTTTTTGTTTGTATATTTTATATTACAGACTTTCATGTGCAATAGATTGAGTGCTGCTGTGTATTACTTGGCACAATTACTATTAAACTAACTATCCAACTGGGCAAATTCTCTCCTTGGTTTGCTCTGTTTTGTTGCAGCTGTTACATTATGTCTTGAAGGAACAAGACAGTTTGGAGAAAGTAAGAAGACGGTACAGGTATTTGTGTTCAAATGTGGGTAAAAGCAAAAAGGTCCTAAGAAAAATAATTACTCAAATAAAATACAGATACTAAATAAAGCTATTTAAGTACAGTAGCTTTTTATACTTGACACAGTTAAACAAAATCAGAGGTCAATTAACTAAAAATGTATGGATAGTTACTTGACCTGGTTTTGTTATCTATTTAAAAAAAGATAATAATTAAAATATTTGATGTATATGTATATCCAACTATGTTCCTACATTTTAAAAGAATAAAAAAATAAACAGAAGTTTAATGTTTAATTGGTTTTCATTGTCTTATTTGCAGCAGATTTCCAAAGGGACTATTTCATCTCAGGAATATATATTCAAAAAAGTGCCTCTGAATCTAAAGACTGCCTGTCAAAAGATATGGAAATTTTAAACTTTGTTTTGTTATAATTCATTATCAGTTAAATTGGTTACTAACAGTCTCGGACCATGTTACTACAGAAAGGCAGATCCAGCCAAATTTCCAAGGATGATCTGAATCACGTGTCTGAGGCGAGACACCAAAAATAAAACAAAAAAATCGCAATCGTTTTTACTTTGGGAACATTTCAAATTCAGATCCAGGATCAGATCAGTGAAATGCGGACCTCTGTACCAAGGAATGGTAAACAAAAGGGGCGCAAATCCCTTCCTCCGTAGCGCGAGAGCGCCGCACGGCACCTGCTGCTCCGCCTGCTAAACTGCTCCGATTGGCTAACCTATACGTCAATCAAATTCAGCCTGCCCAAACTCAATTTACTATTGGCTATCGGTCGAGAAATCTCCGCTAACATCAACCTGATTGGTCAATACTCTAGTTAGCTGCCCAATTTAGGGCGGGAAGCTGCTGCCGCATTCATAAGGCCGGTCTACGGCCGGACCAAAGGTTTTCATTGGTGTCTTCTCTCTGTCAAACACATTTCCTCAAACCTAATTGGTCCACCACCAGGAAGCAGTTGTTCTGAAGCGAA